TATCATGCATGCAAAGGTTGGCAGTTCCCATTCAGGTGAAGCAATGTGTAGAAAATATCTTACTTGAGCTGTAAGACTATCTCTAGGGCTGTCATGACTGCAGAGGATTAATACCAATACATAATAGACATTTAAAGTCCCGTTAGCAAGATCATCTGTTATTTCAGATGGACGCATCAAACTAATCATAGTCTGTTGCCATTCAATATTCGATTATTGATTCTCCTTGTTATGATTTTATGCTCATCTAGTGATCTAATTTCTAGTTATAGCTCAAATATTTGTTACGATATACTTATTTACACATTTGACATGTATTATCTCATTTGATCCTTACAAGAACCCTGTGAGATAGATATCCTTATCTTCTTTGTACATAGAAGCATAAAGTAATGTGCCTGGTGGTAGAACTGAGTTTCAGATCCAGGCGTCGACGCCTTAAGATTGTCTTTTGTCTAGAGCCGTGGTCGGAAAACTGTGGCTCACAAGCCACATGCGGCTCTTTGGCCCCTTGAGTGTGGCTCTTCCACAAAATACCATGGCCTGGGCAAGTCTGTTTTGAAGAAGTAGCATTAGAAGAAGTTTAAGTTTAAAAAAATTTGGCTCTCAAAAGAAATTTCAGTCCTTGTACTGTTGATATTTGGCTCTGTTGACTAATGAGTTTGCCGACCACAGGTCTAGAGCATTATGCTATCCTACCTTGGCCTCAGCATTACAGGGAGAGTATCTTCATCCCATATATTTTTTTTTTACTGTGTTTTGTCCCATGACTGATTTTCTAACAGTGAATAGTAAAGTGACTTCTGATTATGATTTGGCAGAGGGCCAAATCCTATGCCGCCTATCAGAGGTTCTCTCTGGTAAGGATTTTGTGGCCAGCGACTAGCCTCATTTTGGCCAGGATTTCCTAGTTCTCTTTGTCTTGATGAAGAGCTTTGCAAAGTTAGTCCTGTTGTTGATCTCCTGGAGATTCTGATTTGTTTTGGGATGGGGCCCATTAATCTGTTCTTTAAAAAATCTCATTGGTGATTGTGGTGCCCATCTCAATTTGGGAACCACCATTTTAGATGACACATGACTCTATTGATTTGTGCAACAGCTTAGTTCAAATCTAAGAAATGGTAAAAGGAAAGATTTCAGTTTGTAAGCTTTATGCAGAAGTTTTATGATGTTTGTGTTGGGCTAAATATAAAGATCAGCTAAAAATAACAAATCTGGATGCCAGGGATCGAGTGTTATTGGCTTTATTATGCCCAGAATAGTAGTAGGTTTTTAAGCTGGAGATGCACAAGCCTGGGAGTGGATGCTATCTCTGCTACACAGCTGGGCAGCTTGAGCAGCCATGGCAGCCTTCTCAGGCTCTGCAGTCCTGTGCTTCTCATTTGCCAAAGGGGGATGGTAGCAGTCCTTACTTTAATCTATACAAAGCCCTGAGCCCAGAGCCTGATACGAGGTTCGTGCTCAGGAAATGTTAACACTTGTTGCTATTTAAGTGGTTTTTCACTAGGAATATCATTGGTGAGCCTCACTCCGTTCTGACCCGGTGTTTCTTGTGGACACAGCATCTTTGTAGATGGCTGGCGAGAATGAAGATTGTAATTAGTCTCCATAGAGTCTTCCCCCAGACCTGGACCTTTTTATCTTGGACCTGTGAGTTAACCAGTATATATAGCAGTTGAGCAATTAAAGAGCTTGGTATTAAATCTTTTAAGATGTTTTTAAAATATGTTTTATAGCTGGTATAAACCAAATTAAAGGCTAAGAATCAAAGGGTAGATTTGCAGTGATGATTTTGTAAACATCTTAGGGAAAGCAAATCTTTACTAAACTTTTGCCTTGGATTTTCTCAGGTTCTACTTTGCATAAGGTTGGGCTTTATTACAGCTTTTAAAATCATGTGGGAGATGTATTTACTACAAGAGTTGGTTTGTTTTTGTTTTTGTGTTTTACTGTTGTTTTTTTTTGTTTTTTTAAAGCTGTTTTATTTATTTTTAGAGAGAGGGAGATCGAGCTCAGACCTGGGAGAGATTTCATTTCTATACAACACTTCTTTTCCTTTTGTAAAATTAAAATCTTTACAAATTTGATGTAAAATTTGTGATTTCATGTCAGAAAACCTGGATTCAAATCTCTGCCATTCATCAGAGTAGACAGGTTATTTGCCTATAGGAAACTCTTCTTCATCTGCAAAATTAGAATAACAAAAGGTTATTGCAAACGTTGATGTGAAATATAAATTGACCTCCAGATGGAGCTTTTTATCTTCCTCTAGAACAGCATTGTTCAGTAGAAAGAAAAGTGAGCTACTTGTGTAATTCAAATTGTTCTAGTAGCCACATTTTAATTTGGAACAAATAAAATTTTAATACTTAATCCAATATGTCTAAAATATTATTTCAACATGTAATTAATATAAAAATTGAGATTTTTTTCATGCTAAGCCTTGGAGATCTGCTGTATTTTACATGTAAAGCACCTCTCAAGTTGAACTAGCAACATTTTATGTGTTCAGTAACTACACATGGCTAGTGCTGCCATATTGGACAGTCCAGATCAGGAATATAGATTAGTATTTTCCATCAGCATCCTGGGGCACTGGTGTTGTCTCAGCCTTAAGCAATTAACACAGCCTTATTCTTAAAACTTTGTGTACCTCTGGATGGATGAGCTTTCCATTTCTTTCTTCAGCAACCTGGGCTAGTATTTTGTCCTTGGGAGGACAGGCTCCTACCTTCAGCCTTTTGGCTGACTCAGCATAGTGCTTGCTCTGAGCATATCACATGCTTCTCTGTTTGGCCAAGGCTGATAGACAACCAGGAATTCCTGAATCTTTGAGTGTGATAAACCTTTTGAATCACCAGGATTAGACTTTGTAATACCCCTTCATTCTTGTTTTTTTTGTTTTGTTTTGTTTTTTGTTTTTGCCACCTTTCCCAAATTTCAGAGACTTGTCTATTGTCCCTGGGAAAAGAGCAAATACCAGGAATCTTCTAGGAATTCTGCTTTTCAATCCTCCACTACAGTGTAGCTTAACAAGGCAGCCCTCCTTTTCCAAACGTTATTTTGACTTTTTAAAAGACTTTTAGAACCTTTTTGCGACAAAGTGATTTGTGGGTTTTTTTTTTTTTTAATATTTTTTATATATTTCAGAGAGAAAGGGAGAGGGAGAAGAGGGATAGAAACATCAGTGATTAAAGAGAATCATTGATCGGGTGCCTCCTGCATGCCTTCTACTGGGGATTGAGCCTACAACCCAGGCACATACCCTGATAGGGAGTTGAACCCTAACCTCCTGGTTCATAGGTCCACGTTCAATCACTGAGCCATGCCAGCTGGACTGGGACCAGAGATTTAGAGGAAGGAGGCTATATTTTATCTAAATATATTTTTTTAATGTTTTCTAATACTATGTTTTATCCAAATTTTGAGAGAACTATGTTGAAGGGTGTTCCCTAATAGCTGTATGTAATGGTGTAAAGAGATAGGTATAATAACATGGGATTCAAGTATATTTAACAAAAAAAATATGCTCAGATGTCACCTTAGAAAGTCCTGCCTTGATCACTCTGTCTAAAATAGCTTCCAGCCCCCAGTTCTTTTAGCTTTTTTGTTTTTTAGTCTCACTTATTACTAAATTGTTTGTCTTCTCAAATAGAAATAAGCTCCATAAGGGTATGAATTTTGTTTACTCCTGCACCCCAGCTCCTAGTACAAAGTCTGGTCCTCCATAAATGTTCCTTGGATCAATGAAAGGAAGTGCCAAGATACTCTCTATATGTATTAATGATTTTAAAGTTAGATACCCAGTAGAATTCTTCCCTGACCATTGTTGCTCTAACTAGTGTATGAAATTTGCTTGAACTTTTCAAACCTAATCTCAGTGGTAAGAATCCTTTAGTTTACTCTTGCTCAGTCATTTAAGCTTTTACTTCTTTTAGACAGTGTGGGGCATGAGCAGTGGAAAAGGAATATTTATAATGGAATTGTAAAGTAAGGGTTGGGGAAATCTTTACTTTCAGAATACAGAAAATAATCTGTATTTTCAGATTATTATAAAGGATAGTGAAATGGAGGTGGCGGTATTAGGATAGGGAAGTGCGTGAAAATTTTTAATAGTTTGTCTAAGGTTTTGGGGCAAAATAGTTGGCACAGTAGGTAATAGAAGCTTAGGGAAAGGTGAGAGAGATTAATACTTTTTGGAGGAAATGTAAGCTATATATAGGTTTGTGGTAAAAAAAAAAAAATCCACAAGTCATTTTTCTATTGTCTTAGTTTAGAACCTTTATTTTAAAAATCTTAATTTCCCTGTCAGTTTTGCAGTCATTCTTTCACTTTGCCTCCCGTGCCTTTGTGCTCCATGGACTCATGGGACCTGTGCAGACAGACTCTCATGCTCCACCAGCGCCAGAAGTTCTCTTGTAATCCCTGTTTTGGTCCAGGAGCACCCTGCCAATGAAAAGTAATCGAAACATGTTGAAAACTCACAACTTCTTTTAAGAAATATTTATTTTGCATTCAAAAGAAGTAAATTCAATTAAGGTAAAAGCCTCGTTTTGGTCCTACTTCTTTTTTTTTTTTTAATATATATTTTATTGATTTTTTACAGAGAGGAAGATAGAGGGATAGAAAGTTAGATGATTCTCTCTCATCGATGTTTCTATCAGCTGCCTCTTGCACACCCCCTACTGGGATGTGCCCGCAACCAAGGTACATGTCCTTAACAGGAATCGAACCTGGGACCCTTCAGTCCGCGGCAGACACTCTATCCACTGAGCCAAACCAGTTTCGGTGGTCCTACTTTTTTAAGAAAAACAATAAAATGGTTTATACTTTTTATATTGTGACAGCAGGCTTTATTTCAGTTGGGTTTTTTCCAGTGTTACAATTTTAAAGTTTTATAAAGTTTGATTAAAGAATAATACTCTACCTATAGTAGATAATTTTTAAGGACTCTTCAGTTTAAATGATGCATTTTAACCTAATACCTCCTTTCTTCTTAGTCTGTAAGACTTGTATTGTTCAGCACTTTGAAGATAGCAATGATTGTCCCAGGTGTGGCAACCAGGTTCATGAGACAAATCCATTAGAAATGTTGAGGTAAGTAAATACATAAACATTTAATAACTTTTATTATGTGTTGTAATATTTTTGTTGGCACCTTGATTCAATACATACAGATTTTAAGAAGAAAAGGATAAAATATGACTGGATAAAATATGACTGTATATATTAAATATTTAAGGAGTACATTTCCAAATTAAAATTATAACTATTTCAGGCTCTCAGAGTTACTTTCGTTGTAGTTTTGCTGCAGTATTTTAATATTCTACACAATACACCACTTTTGTTAAACTACATGGCAGTAGAAAGAGAGCAGACCTAGTAATGAGGAAGACTAATCTTGGTTCTATTAAATTTTTAAACTCAGAATTTTAAAAATGACTGCCATTTTTTTTAAGTATAATCACATGTTTTTAAAGCTGGAAATGGTCTGTAAGATCCTAATCCAAACCCTTTTTCCAGTTTAGAAAATTGAAATTCACTATGACTTTGCCTAAAGTCTCAGCAAACTCAAATGTTATTTCCCAGCTTAAAGCCAGCTGTCCCTACCATTAAACTTATTTTCCCCCCACTGATCCTACCATAGCTCTATCACAGGTAATTGTGGGATCTTAGGAAAGTACACATCTAAAAACAGTGCTAGATATTCATAGCCTTATGTAATGTTCATTTCTGTGTGATGTTTGCCATCATTCCATTGAATCTGGATTTGCAAGTCTCAAATTTCAGACTCGTTTTTTCTATTTTAATGGCATGTAGTTGGAGTAATTTATCTACAGGTAAATGTCTAGCCCAGTGGTTTTCAAAGTATGGTCCCCAAACTAAGAGTCTCTTGTTAGGAATGAGTTCTGAGACCCTACCTCTGACTTGCTAAAAGTAAATATTAGAAGAAACTGGTTGTGTTTGAAGTGATTGCCTCGGGGGTTGTAGGAATCAGGATGAGAATGTTCTATTTTACTGCAAGATTTACAGGAAAGTTTTACTTGTATATTACACATATATATAACTTTGATAAAAATATTAAATTGAGAAATGCTACTTTTTAAATATTACTACTAAATGGTCAGGGGAACTTTGTGAACAAGTAAGTATTTGAGTTAAGTCTTGAATAAGGTAACATTGGTTTGGTTGGAGGGTAGGAAAAGAGTAATTGAGCCAGGATAAAGAAAATATATATTTGATTTTTTTACAGAGAAGGGAGAGAGAGAGAAACATTGACCAGCTGCCTCCCCCCACCCCCTCCCCCCACTGGGGTTGTGCCCGCAACCAAGGTATGTGCCCATGACCGGAATTGAACCCAGGACCTTTCAGTCATCGGGCCAATGTTCTATCCACTGAGCCAAATTGGTTTCAGCCAGACAAGACACCATTATGGAAAACTGAATATGCCTGTTGGATAGGGAAGAGAGACAAGAGAATAACACTAGTTATGGTTTGTAGGTTAGACTCAAGTTATAAAATCAATCGAAGCCAGGTGGTGGGAAGAAATTGGTGCTTGAGTAAAGCAAATGGTGAATCTTCCTTAAACATTAATTTGATCATTATGAGCATGTTAAGTTAAAGGAACATAGGTGTATTCTGTCCTCCAAGTACTGTGGTAATTAAGGAAGTAGAAGGGTGGGAAGCATGAAGACCATATTGGGAAAATATCGAGAAGGAACTGTGGAAGCACAGTGGCTTAAACGTGTGAATCACGTTTGTGGGGAGAGGTATGTGAATGTATTAAGATAATTCTTGCATTTTGAGTCTTTGGTCTCATTTTTAAATTTAATTTTTGAAAAGTATGACGGTGGTATTCAATGTTTTGTTGGAGGATGGATGAGACAGTGTTGACAGATTAACAATAGAAGGTGCTTGAGATATTAAGCATCTGTTGGAAATGTGACGCTTAAGCTCAGCAGAGATGTAGCTTGTATTTGTGTGTGTGTATATATGTAAAAGCTATTTGCTTATATGAAGTCACAAAATCCTACTGAAAAGGCCAAGAGAGCAGAGCATTGGAAAAGAAAAATACTTAGGGACCAAGAGAGAGTAGGCAGGAAAAAAAGAAAACTCAATTGTTCTTTCTTGAAAGGAACAGTTTTAGACAATCCTATCAAACTGTTGCAGAGCAATATAGGATAAAAATGACTTTAAAAACACAGAATATATGAGAAATGTAGATTTTTTTCTTTCAAAGTTTTTCCAATTAAAAAACAGCCAACAGCTTGAAATACAGGTTGGATTTTTTAAGATGCAAGGAAAGTATTAATGTTCGTAGTTAGAGAAGAGTAATGCTACTGAGCAGGATGAAGCTTTGAAGGTAGAAGAGAGAAAAGGGTGTTCTGGGAGAAAGAGAATAAAAGAAAAGAAAAAGGAAGGGTTACACTCTCGACAGGAAAAAACTAAAGTAACATCAAGATAAATATTTACATTTTTTATCTAGAAAGGTAGAATGACTAAATGGTCTAAATTTTTCAGAAGAATGGTGATTATTTCCTTTATAGGAAAGAGCCAGAGTTGTTGTAGAGATCTTGAGAGTGAATTTATCAACTATTATAAAACCAACCACCCTTAAAAAAAAAAAAAAAATTCTTATTCCTCACAGTTCTGCAGTTCACAGATCTAGGTGGTTCTTCTGCTCTTGGCTGGGCTCACTCATGGTACTGCTGTTGACTGGATAGAGGCTCTCAGCCTCTCAGATTGGGGACAGGCTGTCAGTGACCTGGTCTGAGATGGCCTCAGCAGGGTTCTCTTACACATGGTGACTCGTTCTCCAGACTTGTTCTCATGGTTGGCAGGATTCTGAGAGAGGGCCTACAGAAGCATGCAGTGCCTCTTTAGGCTTGGGCCCAGGACTAAGCACAATATTTCAAGCATATTTCAAGGCTAGCCCATATTTTTGGGGTGGGGAGGTTGAATTCCTCCCTTAGCTAAGGGATGGAGTCATGTTCAGTGGTTCCCATAATGGGACACATGTCCCACAGGGGAACAATTTGATAATGAGTTATTAACAGTGAATTTTTTGCATTTTTTACATTATAGGGGCCTCATATACAGTATATAAATATATATTGTGACATTTATGCATTTCATAACTCCAAATTATTTTTTTAACAATTTCTTAGCGATTTATTCTTCAGTATTTCAACTGTCCTGTCATTTTATTTTTCTCCTTTATGGATGCCATGTCCTTTGGAAGCTTGTTTAGACCAAGTTAGTGGCCTACTTCCATGTGAAATATGTCATCAGGATTTTAGAGATGCTTAGGTGGGACTGGTGTATATGGAGAGAGAGCTGGGGACTAGGACTGTTTTGTTATCAATCTACCACTGTGGGAAAGGCTAGAAATGGGTGTGTGTGCTCCGCATGCAGAGGAGTTTGGTGTAGATGTGCTGAAACTGAGCGTGTACTGCATTGGCAGTACATTTAAGATAGAGATCCCCAGCTGCCTATGTATTGGATTTTGATATCTTGTTACTTTGTTATCTTTTCCCCTTTGGAAGGTTGGATAATACGTTAGAGGAAATCATATTTAAACTGGTCCCTGGACTACGAGAACGTAAGTTACTCTTTGGCTTCTTGCAGAATTCTGTGTTTTATGAAATCAACATTTCTATTACATATTTCATGACTGTTTCTATTATTTTTATACTTTTTCTTTCAATTTAGAAGAACTTGAGCGTGAATCTGAATTTTGGAAGAAAAATAAGCCTCAAGAAAATGGACAAGGTGACTTTCTTACACTTGTATCTGACCGCTTCTCACAAATTAGCTTTTAATAGCTTTGGTCAACTAATCTCTCTCTTCAAGCTAAAGTGTCTCCTAAACAGAATTCATGTACTCTTTTACTTATATTATGAACCTTTCATATAAAATTATGAGCTCGTTCCAGTTAAAGGTAATAGGAAATTGGATTTTAGGAAGAGAAAAAGGAGCTAAAACAGAAGAGTACTGATTGCATTATTTGCTAGAGAGCTAAAGGAAACTGAAAGAGCTATAGTATACAACTAGACCGTGAGGGATTTTGTTTCAGTTTGTACATTTGAATAGGAAAGGGAACTGAGATGTGGCTGACAGCATAGCAGGGGGATCTTGGAATGAAGTTTTCATGGGTGGAGCTCAGGTGATACAAATTTATATAACTGGAAGATATTTTTATATATCTAGAAAATGCTTTTGGGAGTTTTCCTTATCACCAATGCTAAGTGTCCAAATTTCTCTTCTGGGTGCCTGGAGACTCAGCAATCAGTAAATTTTTAATAATTTTAGCAAAATAATAAACATTATCAAGCAGAGAAAAGGCTTTTGGTAAGTATATAATTCACACAAAGAAAATAAAAAGTATAACATACCTAAAATTATAAGGAAGTATCCTTATATAAGATTATTTAATTTAAGATTGATTTCAAGATGACCTTACACCACTGAAATCTTTAAATATGTACATGTGTTTTTATAGGCTCATTGTGAGATTAATTTCCCATCTCTGGCTTTTCCATAAGATCACAGGATTGTCAATTGCACATAATTAAGATGGGTCAGAAAATTCTTTTTTATCTATAAAATTGGGATCTTAGTTTCTTTAGTTTAACTTCCTGTAGTAGGGGAGGTTTGAGCGTAGTTTTGAATGACAGAGAATATATAATAGCAAGGGATTATTTCTGCTCTATAACAACAACAAAAATGACTTAACTAAAGGCTTGTTTTACCCAAGTGTAAAGTACAATTTAGATAGTAGTTCTAAAGTAAAAACATAGATGATATAAAGTGGACTAAATGTTCCCAAGTTTTGATTACTTTTCAAGAGGAGTGGTTCCAGAGGATGGTTATCCGAAGCTATCTGTTAGATTTAGTTCATGGCACCATGTATCTTACAGGTTGACTTGTGAAGGACTATAATCTATTTTGTGTTTTTCTCCCTCTCTAAAGTATTTTGTCTTTAGTTTAGATGGAGAGTTTGTATTTTTTCTTGGAGCTGGGAGTTAGCTTATAGACAGTGTCACCTTTAAGAACCTGTCTTCTTTTCCGGAGCTTTTCCACACTGCGATGCTCAGTCGGCTAATTCTTTCCATTGGAAATTTCCCCGAATCTCTACTTCACCCCAGTTTATGTTTATCACCTTTTTTTTTTTATGTTGCTGCGTAGTCTTTTACCTCTTCCATCAAAGGTCTTATCCGACTTCTGTTTCCTCTCCCTGTTTCTCCTGTACCTTGGCCACAGTGAGGATGCGGATGATGATTCTAGTTTCAATATTGTTTCCTCAAGCCTAGCACAATGCATATCTAACAGTTACAGGCACACAGTAAAACTATATGTAGGCTGTAGGTATTTCATAGGTTAAAAACATTTGGATATAATATGAAGTATATTATTCAGATTTCCTTAATGGAGTTTTAACATTTTATAGCTATAAACATGTTTAAAAAGAATTCATTTTATTCATTATTTTTAACTAGTTAATTTTATGAATATCTAATAATTTGCAATTTTTGAGAACTTAGAAAAAGTACTCAGTTTTAAATTAGAATATATATAGAATTTGAAAGTATTTTTATATCCTCTCTACATTCTAAGTGATCTAATCACCAATTGCAATTATTTTTGTGACAAAATGTAGCTAGTCCTGAATCTTGCATTTGGATGCCCCAGTGAGCCTAGACATCTTAGGCTATATCAGTAAGTCATTGATGGTTTTTAAAAAATATTTTCATTATTTAGTTGATTCATTTAGAAAGTATTGAAAGTTTCAGTTATTCTTCAAAGTTGATTTTTGTTTTGATAATTATTGTTGCTTAACTTCAGTATCAACTTTGGGTTATATCTGAGTTTTATTTAAATTGTACAGACGATACTTCAAAAGTTGACAAACCTAAAGTAGATGAAGAAGGTGATGAAAATCAAGATGATAAAGACTATCACAGAAGTGACCCACAAATTGCTATATGTCTAGATTGTTTACGAAATAACGGACAGTCAGGGGACAATGTAGTAAAGGTGAGTGCATAAGTACAGTTGTATTTTTACAATTATTTTATTGTAAACCTTTGATAATTTGTTGATGAATTTTCCTGTTTCAATATGTTTGCTTTCAAAGTTTTTATAACAGTCCCGTACCTACAAATGGCCAACCAATTGCTTATTCCACACACCTGATTTCCAACCCCCACAACTGAACCGTCCTGGGCCAATGCCACCACCTAGTGGTTCATCAGAGAATCACACCACTGATTCTCTTGCCACCACTTCCTTCTATACCTTTGTTGGGAGTTTATATACATTGTTTTTCCTCTTTTAAGAGTGGTAGCCAACTCAGGTCATTTTATGTTGGGCAATATCTCCAATCTTTGTTCATCCTCTTCTAATTTCTCCCTTTATTTTTCTATTTTTATTAGTAAAAAAACAAAACAAAAAAATACCATGTTTTTTAATATAATTAATTGGTTCTGAAATAAAATTGGTGTCATAAAAAGCCTATAAATTTAAAGTCCTTGAAGGCTTCCAGATGTTTCCTATAGAATCTCCATTTCTAACCCTGTATGTGTACTAATACCTTTTTGTAAAGATCTCTATACTAGAATAGAGTTTCTGACACACAACTTGCTTTTTTGTTACAGGAACTTTTGTTTTTATTATAAAGGTTCACTGCTTTACCGGTTAAATAGATTTTTCTCACTTTGTCCTAGTAAATTTCAGCCCCTGAGAATATTATAGTCCATGTTTTATTCAAATACTATATTCAGTGTCTCTTCTTTCACTTCCAACCCACTGGCTTATAGATAACACAGTGGATTTTCACGAATATATTTAATGATATATTTCTTTTAAGAAATTAAAATTTTTTCATCTCCAATTAAGTGTCACAAGCATTTTGCAACAAAGAATAGAGCATAATGAATCAGTGAATACTAATCTACTATGTGGATATTAAACAATGAAGATATAAATAAGAAAAAAATTTCAGTCAAGGAACTTTGGTGAGGTCTTACACAAATAAACAGTTATAATACAATACAATAATTGATTTAATTAGCAATTGGGTAAGGCATGTAATGAAGTGCAGAAATCTTTAGAGATGTGGCCTTGACCTTCCCAGGCTTCTCTATGGCTTTTTATGCTCTGGTGCAGCACCTTTTCGTCAGGGTTTTTAATGACCTTACTTTTCTCTCTCATTGAATCATTCCTGTAATTCCCATGTAGGGAGGTTCTTCTTAATAGAGAGATGATAAAAATCTCTAATACATGGGTTATCTTATATAAAATATCGACTTAATTGATTTTCACTATATGAATATAATATAGTAGATTGAATATATTTTTAAGTAAATGTAAAAGCTACTTTTCTGCAGGATTTCTAGTATGAAAGTAAGTATCCCAGTTGGGAGTTTCCCTAACACCTGAAACTTTATTTAAAGACAAATTCATTATACTTATACCTAATTGTACTCCAAACCTGCAATTTCAGTTATTATTACCATCTCTCAACCAATAGTACAAGTTCACAACCTGGGCCTTATACTCTTTCCCTTCAGCCTGTCATAAGTCCTGAATAATTCCCCATCCTAGCTATTTACTTTATATGTAGATTTTTTTTAAGTAGTCTCTCAGTTTTTTCTGTATCCTTAATTTCTCTCTTATCCAAGGTTGAGGCCACAGCCTGAATGTGTGTAAGACAGAGGGTGAAAGTCAGAGTCAAGGCCAATATCAGGGTCAGACACTAAATATTTTAGGCTCTGTGGGCCATGTGGTCTCTGTTGCGGCTACTCAACTTACTCATAGCAGCCATAGTCAATAGTGAATGACCTGGCATGGTTGTATTCCAATAAAACTTTACTTAAGAAAAGAGGTGGCCAGCCAGATTTGGCTTGAGAGCTCTGGTCATAGTTTGCAATCTTTCAGCCAATAGAATCAAGTCTTAACTCCTTTCCAATAGCATTCATGGCCTTTAACTAGTTCCTATCTTGATAAGTGTATCTCCCATGATACCCATCAGTGAAATTTCCTCTCAAGACAAGTGACTATTGCTTTGTTTAGGATTACCAACATATATGCTGACACTTATACCTGACAAAGGACTTGCATCAAAATATATGAAGGCTTGTATTAAGACTTAAGCCCCCCTCACTCCACAGACATCAGGAAGGATTGTGGGAGTTTGGCTCCAGGGCGGGTCTGGCCTATCTTGCCCAGTTCCAGCCTGCCAGCCACTTCTAATTAATTTCTTTTCAATGTGCACAAATCCATGCACTGGGTCACTAGTATAATAATAAAGTGTTTCTAGAGAGAGAGAATATATAATTGTTTCATTTTTATTTTCTAAGTGCCTGTAAATTAAGTATTAAATTCCAGGTTGGAATTTTGTTAGATTGATGTCAAACTATCATCTGTAGAGTTGTTTCTGTTGGTCTTTGCTAGGAAATGTTTTCCTGGGAATACATTTGCTAAGAAATACATATTGACTGGATAGTTCTACTTTTGACTTAGTGAATTTAAAAACATTTTCAAGCCTGGCTAGGATGGCTCAGTGGTTGAGTGTCAACCTATGAACCAGGAAGTGATTCCAGGTCAGAGCACATACCCAGTTGCAGGCTCCATCCCCTGTGGGGGCATGCAGGAAGCAGCAGATGAATGCTTCTCTCCCATCTTTGATGTTTCTATCTCTCTCTCCGAAATCAATTTTTAAAAAAGAACATTTTTAAATTGTCTACCTAATTTTCTATACATAAGTAGAAGTAATACTTTATATCTTTAAAAGATCAAGTTAAGAGTCCATTCTACATGACTTGGTTGCTAGGGCTCTTGTGGACTAACTGATCTCTATTCATCCCTAGGGCTCAAAAGAGCCCCATTTGAAGTTAGTGCTCCTTTTTAAAATGTCCTAATGCTTTCAGAAGCAATATTGTCTAATAAAATATGTATATGCTTTTTATGACCTTTCTTTACTTTCAATTAAACTAATGATCTGTTCTTTACCAAAATGTCTAGAGGTATGCAGATGTCTATATTTGCTAGGATTTTCTTAGTAAACACATTCTCAAAGAATATCATGTACCTAAGAATTAGGAACGTTTTAAAAAAAATTTTATGAGTTTATTTGAGCCAAACTGATGACATGTGGGGAAGCAAGATGTCCTAAGAACATTTTTACTCACAAATACTAAAGAGCTGTGAACTGAAACATTTTCAGAATACATTTTGAAAATATTCCAAGTGGAAATGACATCTGTGGTTTCTTTATAGATAAGGTAGAATATTATAATTAGTTATCTTTATTTCCTTTAGGGTTTAATGAAGAAATTCATTCGATGTTCTACACGTGTAACTGTGGGAACTATTAAAAAATTTCTAAGTTTAAAACTAAAACTTCCAAGTTCATATGAGGTAAGTTAATAATTTAACCTTGCTCAATTTGATAACTCTGATCTGAAATGAAAATTAACTGAGAATACATTTAAATTAAAATTTGTGGAAACTTTGGGTTACCCTTTTCCCATTAAAATTTTTAATGCAATATTCCATTTATGTAATCTGTATTTTTAAAATTTAACATCCCGATTAAAACATATTAGTAATACATTTAGTGTTTTATAATTAGAGACGACATTTAAATAACATTAAGTAACCCTGACCGGTTTGGCTCAGTGGATAGAGCGTCAGCCTGGGGACTGAAGGGTCCCAGGTTCAATTCCAGTCAAGGGCATATACCTTGGTTGAAGGCACATCTCCAGTAGGGGATGTGCAAGAGGCAGCTGATAGATGTTTCTAACTATCAAAAATTAAAATATATTTTTAAAAAATAATAACAATAATAACATTAAGTATTCTCAAAATAAATATCCAAGTTAAATGGATTCTTTGTTTTTATGCCAGTGTGCTTTAGTGTGTGTCTTTGTTTATTTTTAATGAGACATTTGGGATCCATTTTTACCAATTCTTCACAGACTTATTTTTTAGAATGTGAAACATTGTCAAAAGGGATTTTGTAATAATGTCTAATTTTATGGTGCATAAAAGTTAGTGTTTAGCACTAGGTGAAAGCTAGTATTTTAGAATTGTATCTGCATATACGCAGTTTAACAATTTTTTTGCAAGAGAGATAAAGTGCCCTCATATTGATCCCAGCACAGCTGGTAAAGTGTTCAATGTTAAAAGAATGTTTGCGATTCTAGGATTATGGCTTTAAAAACATAAGGAAACAATGCTACTATTTTTCACCTGCCCAAATGGTAGTCTTCAACTTATATTAATGACCTCTTCCTCCCCTTTGATTTCTGATAGTAGCATCAAAAAGCTACAGACCCAGCCTGGTTTCCTATATGAACAAAGACATCAAAGGCAACAAACAGGTTTCCAAACTTATGGATAGTAACATGAACAGTCATCACAGCAGAAATAAGATTTGAACATAGGCATTGATAGGGATTAAATTTCCATCTTGAGGAATCCTCTGATCCTGAACTTACTTTTATTTTATTTTATAGAAAGGAAGGGAGAGTGATTACATTTGAAAATTCTCTCAAATGACTGATTAATCTATGGATTAAAAATGGTTATGGTTTGATTCTACAAATACTAAAAAATTTCCAGTAACATCAAGTTTACATCAGGGGGAAAAATGTAAGGGTTAAAGCCCTATGTACTTGGTAAAAATAAGAGATAACAATTTATAGATAACAATTTATAAATACAAAAATAACGAAAATAGAAAGTAAAATTTTTTTATGCTTTCGTTTCGCACTTTATTTCCCTCTTGCAAGGTACCATGTGCAGTTTTATTTCCTTTTAAATGTGACTCATTATTTTCTAGTTTTTAGGAAGCTGTTAAGAGCTGAGAGAATTGTTATCCTCCTCTGGCCATGCTGCTGGCACCTACACTGCTCTGTAGGAGAGGATGGAAGGGGAAGAGAGTGCTGACAGCTCCTTGTCTATCCCAGTGCAAAGGACTTTTCCTAGGATTTTCAGAAATATTTACTGGTCTCCCCCCGACCTCCTTACTTTCCTACCCAACATGCGGGGGATGACTTAATGTTATAGCTGAAGATTCTGTACAGCATTATTAACTAGGGCAGAATAGCTTAGTTACTAATTTAATTAACAATATAAGCAGTATACCCGGTTAAGAATAGAATCCTAAGTAAGTCCCTTCTTGGCTTATGAATTCATTTTACAGGCTAGATAAAATGAAAGTATTATCTTGTTCTTTTAAACATAAAATGATATCTGAAAAACATTTGGAGCTCCACATAAATCATCAAAAAAGCAATATATTTTAGCTAATAATTTACCTAATACAATTAGAACTATACTCATTTTAAAGTTCAAAAGTATTTGTCTAGCCAAACCATTATTTAAAACCCATTTTTCTTCCCCCTTTCCATCCTTTAAATTAAATTCTGTCAGTTTGCTTTTAATAGCTAGAGAACCAAAATGTTTCACTTAGAGAGACTTGTGATAAACATTTAATTGTGCTTTGTTGAATTAGCATAGTCACAGTTTTTACAGACTTCTTAAGTATTTGGGGTTGTTTGGTTCTTGCAATACTAGAGCTAAGGTGAGCATTGAAAAGTACAGCCCTTTTTTGAAGTTTCATGCAAGGTGAGAAAAGAGTTCTGTAGGTATCAATGAAAGTGACCAACCAAGCAGAGCAGAGAAGCCATGACCATAAGAAACATGGGCCAGTGGCATGGTCCTAACTGTGCTGTCAGTTTAGCTACAGGTAATCACTCAAAATTCTCAGATGCCTCGAAGGGCCCATAAATCATACGTCCACATTCATTCATTTAACCTCTTTGAATACAAACTAATGAGAGGAAAGGAACTCTTTCAAATCTTGGGTTATCTTAAGGCAAAACTGCTGTGAGGAACTAAGGTTTCCACAGTTTCTTGATTTCATAAGAGGCAATCAGAAATGTCTCAGCTCAAAGGTTGCATAGACATGGACTAAAACTCTACATTGCATTTCAAAATTATCTGTTGAACTTGAGATACAGGTTAGTAGGCAAGACAAACAGTGCTTCGTGGTCTGAATAAATACTTATGAGATGGATCAGTGCTTTTAATAAAAATAATGTTCTTTTTAAATAAATGGATAATACTTATAATACTTATATTTTATAACTATTTCAACCCTTTTTGAAATTTGAAAAAACATGTAAAACACATATATTCAAAATTTACATATGTTAATGGATCTGTATTCTTTTTCAAGTTGGATGTGCTGTGCAATGGTGAAATTATGGGGAAGGATCACACTATGGAATTCATCTATATGACAAGATGGCGACTAAGAGGCGAAAACGTAAATTGCTTTTATATTTACCTATGTGTATATTTAGCTATATATCATTATATTACTCAAATTTAACAGTATTATTAATAGTGTTCTAGAAACTCAAAGAACAAACTAGCTTGGGAAAGAGAAAAAATCTGGTTCCTCTTACTGTTTCTTTCAACTACTCTATGATAATTAGTCTCAAGTACAAGACCAAAGTCTGTGTTATACCAAGGTGAGTTTAAAACCCCAACTAAATATGTTCAGAGCTCTGCTAACCTCAAGACAGAAGGTGGCCCTCACATTTTTTTACATAACTTTATGAAGTGGGGGTAAGAAGACTAAGTTCTGCCCTAATACGTTTAATGGCTGATAATATATATCTTTCTGGTTATGGTAGAGGAGGTAGCTAGAGTAGAATCAAGGTAACTTTATTGAAGTATAAAATTAGACTGAAGAGTAAGTGGGTTTGCAGTGGTTTCTGATGCCAGGTTAGATTATTGTGCCTTGGGCCCTAAGCAATGTAAGGAGAAAAACTAAGAAAATAATAATAAAATAAAAAAACTTTAAAAGAGAACTTAGTATTTTGAACAGTATCTTTGATTAGGGTTAATTAGAAGGTTCAAGCATATCTTATCTGAGTTGTATGTGACAGTATTAGGGACATTTTAGAGACTAGGGATTATAAGGCTGATATATAACAATAAATATAGTAGTAATGCTAACAGAAATTCTCTCTGTAATCTGAGCACATGAATAAACATACGATCGACTACAAGGTTAGACTAAATGACCTCCATTTAGACCTTAAGATTTTACGGTGTTTAGGGTACAAAATGTCAGTGTAATTTTAATCTTTCTATAAGCTAGGTTTTATTATATTTTTAAATATGTTTTTATTTACTTTAGAGAGGAAGGGAGAGGGAAGAGATAGAAACATCAATTATGAGAGAGAATCAATGATCAGCTGCCTCCTTCATGCCCCCTACTGGGGATTGAGACCTGACCTAGAATCCAACTGTGATCTCCTGGTTCATGGGTTGATATTCAACCACTGAGCCATACCAGCCAGGCTATTATGAAAATATAAACTATAAAAACAATCACATAATTAAGAAATATAACCTCACACTAAGGTAGATAATATAGAAACTAATATGAGGGTTGCCATTATGGTTCAAAACATACTTATATTGAATGTCAACAGCTGTGGAACAAACCTCAAAATATATTCTTTATGTGTCATTCAATGGGTAGGATATTTGGCTATTTTTAAGAAGAAATGTATCTTGATATGATACAGTAAATGAAGTACCTGGCTTTTTTATTTTTCTATTTGAGTCTCACTTGAGTAAAGCTTTCCTTGTGAGGCTGAATTCTCATGACCAGGAAGGAAAATTACATTCTAGTACTAGAGTCACCAATTAGTTGTTACCCTTGAATTCATTAAACCTTTCTAGGGTTTTTTTTTTTAAAGAAAATAAAAATCTGATTATATTTGGTAAATTACTAATTGCCCTTATATGACATTTCCTAGTACATACATCACCCTTACTTAATGCTTCCAGTTCCAAGCACAGATTATAGAGACAGCCGATTCTCTCTTTCCCAGCTCTATTGGGGCCTATGTACGGTGATATTGCATATAATATTAATGTCATATTGATATAATTTTAACTTCCTTTAATAATTCTTAGGACATTTCGGTGTGTGCTTGAAGCCATCATGATGAGTAGGTTTCCCTTAAGGTTGAAAAGATGTAAGTAGTCATCCACCACAAGATCTCTGTTAGCACTCACCGTCCTTCCTGAGATCCCTCCCCAAAGGTCACCCACACTGCCAGTTACTTCAAGGTCAAAGCATGAAAGCTAATTCATAAAAATTGTTACTAAAAGATTCGAAGTTTAATCAGTCCTTGCTACAGTTAGGTTTTTTTTTTTTAACCACATTTCTGAATAGTTGAAGTTCTTAGTTACTTAAGGCATACTTTAATAAAAAGTGGTTCAAATAGTGGTTCAGTATCATATGATTTTTCATTCACATAAAAACAAAACCAATAGAGGAATTACCACATTTTATAATTAATGCAACAGTAAAGTAATTATTAGCCTGTTTCATTTTTCAATATGAGAAACCTGCTTTTGTTTGATCCCCTTCTCCAGCCTGTTTCTCCCTTAGTTTTCACAATTGCAGTAGTTCCCTTTTGGTCTCTCAGACCAAATTCCTGAAGTCAGTTCTGGTTAGTTTCTTTTTTTTTCTATTCATCCTTAGCAAACTTTGTGACCTATGTAATATACAAGGTAGTCACGGTCCCATTATGTCTTATCACCTCCACTGAACCCACTCTGATCCAGGCCCCTGGCCCCATCCTCCGGAATTTCTACCTACGACTCCTAGCCTTCCCCCCCACCCCGCCCATCTTTGTCCGGTAGAGCAGCTGGAACAATCCTTTTAAAACAAGTTAGAACATGTCATTTCTCTGCTTTGAGCTCTCCAGTAACATCTAGTAGCATGTAAAGCCAAAATCAGGGACCTATAGATACAGACCCAAGTGATTTTCCTAGCCATGTCTCTGGTCTTACCTTCTCCTTCCCTCTGGCTCCCCCACACTCAGCCTCACTGGCCCGTGTCCTATAACGTACCAAACTTGCTCCGGCTCCCCAGTGTTCACCTAATTTGTTCCCTTCACCCCTTTGCTCAAAGAATTTTGCTTCTCTACCTTCTCAGTGAGGCCTCTGACTCCGAGACTCTAAATCCTTTTTTATGCCTTACTGTTTTCCATAGGATTTCATTACTACCTGAAATCTTGTATCTCTTGTTTATGGTTTGTTAAAATATATCCGAGGGCAGGGCTTGTCAGGAACAGTGCCTAATACAGATACTCAAAAAATATTTGTTTAAAGAGTAAACTGAATAAAAATTTTTCTTATATAAGGTTAGTAGTTATGTAAAATATACCCTAAAGACCATTCTGTTTATTTGAATCTCAATTTCCCAATTGTTTTTTGTTAAATAAATTTTAAATATTTGTCTTGTTCCAATTAATTTTGAGTTATAGTAGTAATTGATGAATTCTGACCTTTGAAATAAATGAATAAATTATAAATAAAACAATTTTTTTAAATGTATTTTTATTGATTTCAGAGAGGAAGGGAGAGTGAGAGAGAAATAGAAACATCAATGATGAGAGAAAATCATTGATCGGTTGTCTCCTGCATGCCTCCTATGGTGACCAAACCTGCAACCCGGACATGTGCCCTTTACTGGAATTGAACCTGGGACCCTTCAGTCTATAGGCTGATGCTCTATCCACTGAGCCAAACCGGCTAAGGCAAAACAATAATTTCTTGATTAAACCCCTACTAGCAAACACATACCTTTCCATCTCTACCTTCCACTGCCAGCAAGTTGCCAGGATGTCTGAAAAGCTTGCAGTACTTTACCTGCTGGCATTGCTCACTCACTGCGTTGGGCTGAGGTCAGCTTATTTTCTAAACTAGTGTCTACTTTGTGGTTCCTTCACTTGCTTCTAGTACATTTCGTATTCTACCTGGGATTTGTTTAATTACACACACACCTACAACAAGGCTAAGACTCTTCTTGACCTCTAGGACCTTGTTTTGTATTCTGGATTCTAACCTTTTGTTATTTATGTGGAAGCTGTTTCCTTCCAGTTTTGTCCTGGTTTCTAGTTTTGCCTCTGTCTTTTAAGCCTTAAAATTTGGGTAATGCTACCTATCTCAAATATTTTAGAGAGAATGAGGTAATATAAAATACTCAGTAGTGTGTCTAGCATACTGTTACTTTATTAATAGCTTATGTTAGCTTTTATTATTTTGTAATTCTCTCCTCCTACACTTGGTCTCATGCGAGAGCTCACTGTTAATATCTCTTTCTGTTCAAGCCTTCCTTTCATCATGAACTCATATTCTTCCTGCTCAACTCTTCAGAGGGCTGAGTACCCACTCTTGGGACAGCCCGTCTTTCCCAGATGGTCCTGGTTGGGTTTACCTTCCAGCAACCTCTGTTAGTCCATATTTAAAGTCACTACACCATGTTTACCTTGCTTTGCTTTATTTGAATTTTCAAGCAGTTTTAGAAAAAGCAAACATCTATTTGAACTAATACCAGAGAGATTAATGTAGGGAAAATAAGTGCTATTTGGGACTTGTATAGTTAGTCCAAATCTGATAAAGCTAAAAGATTTTTTTTTTTAATTTTTAATCCTCACCCGACAATATTTTTCCATTGATTTTTTATAGAGAGTGGAAGGAAGGGGAGAGACAGAGAGAGAGACATCGATGTGAGAGAAACACATTGATTGGTTGCCACCCACATGAACCCTGACCAGGGCCAAGGGTCAGATCAACCTGCAACTGAGGTACGTGCCCTTGACTGGAATCGAACCCAGGACCCTTTAGTCCTCAGGCCAATGCTCTGTCCACTGAGCCAATCAAGCCAAGCCAAGCTTAAAGATTCTTGAGAGAGGGAAAGGTTGCCAAGGACAGCAGTGGTGGGCATATCTTAGGACATGTTAATGAGCCCCACACAGAAATGCAAGGACTAATGTTTAGGGGGGAACTTGATAAAGTCTTTGGGGAAATGGAAAATTTCTAAAATTTTATTTTAAAGGCTGTCAATATATTTGTTTTAATTATTGCTTAAGTGTTCTTTCAAAGTATATATTTTTAAAAGCTGCTCGGAGATGTTAGATATCTCCTGGTTAATTTACACCTTTCATTTTTATTTTCCTTTTGAATAGGCATGCAATGTTGAATTCACATATGTATAACGTTGAAAATTCATTATTAGGAGATGGATTTTTTAAATATGAATGGTTAAACTGCTAACATTAGTGAGTTTGCAAATGAATTTACTTAATAGTTTTAAAATATGTTTATTGATTTACTCAAATATTTTTGAGTGGCTTCCGTGGGCCTTAGCTATTAGCATTGAAAATACAAATTAAGAGGCTCAAGGAGCTCGCGTCTGATGTCATTAAAACTTACATGAGACTAAGAATTAACCTGCTGGCAATGTAAGGAACCAAATTTAAAACAGGAAATGGATCCCTTTCAAGTTGAGGCAGATTTCATGCCCCTGGCAGAGCTCCAATATCCTTAAAAGTGATGCTTTCAAGAGGTAGTTGAGGAGGAGATCTAGGAGATTAATCATAGGACAAGATGGCTGGAAGAGGTGAGGGTTTTGCTCAACATTAGTATTTGAAGAGGAGATGGAAAGGATGGGTAAAATATTTGCAGAATATTAGCCAAACTCTTATTTAGATACTAAAATTACTTCAAGCTAAATTTTACCAGTCACTATTATTAAAATCAATTAAAACAAAAAACAAAAAAACTCTACCCTATTTTGGAACGCGTTTACTTAAAATTAATCATGTTGACTCATGTTTGACGTTAAATTATATTTTTTGAATAATCAGTTTTAAATATGTATCCAGTTGTGGATGCCTCTTATCTGATGAGTTCATCTCCTCCGCAGTTTCGGTGTCTGAACTGCTCAGCTTCGCAAGTCTGCCCTCAGGATGGCCCTTTGTATCAGGTAAGAGGCACTCACGACTGTACATATGACCCTGACGATGCTGCCACCATGGGGACTGCTTTCATCCCAAACTCAAGTTCCTAAGACACGTAACTTGGTGAAACTAATACTTATTTGAGCTACAAAACTTCCTTTCAAATTATGTCCCCAAAGTTTTCCATTATTTTAGTTCTCTTGAAATATCTATCTAATTTTACTAAACTAAAAATAAAATTATTAATGGTAAGGCTATTAGGGATTTTTAATAATTTCCAATTCTAGCCCTTGAGAAATCTCTGCTCCACACATAATACTTCTTTGTGTATTACTTTTTAAAAATTAATCATTCACCCACAATGAAAGGTAAAATGCCGGATGAGGGGAAGCTAAATAATGGCAGCAGCTAAATGTAATTGTGAGCTGGCTTACTAGGCTCTCCCTAAGTGCTTTACTTGAGTTATCTCTCTTTCAATATAGAAATGATAGTGAACTAATTTAATAATGCACTGAGAAAACTTGAACATGGATCTGAGGAAAGTTTATCAATAAAAATACATTTTATAAATTTGGAAAACAGAAGGGATTAAAGATGGTATAGTAAGAATTACTCTACAGAGATGATCTATGGATAATTATAGCATTTCTTTAAAATCCCCATTGTTTGGAATATTACTCAGCCATAAAAATAGAATAAAATCTTAACATTTGCAATAGCATGGATGGACCTAAAGGATATTAAGCTAAATGAAATTAAGTCAGAGAAATACAAATATATGATTTCACTTATATGTGGAATCTAAAGAACAATGTAAATACACAGAAATAGACACATAGATACAGAGAAAAAACTGATGGCTGTTGGAGAGGAGAGGGGGTGGGGGACTGAGCAAAAAAGGCAAAGGCATTAAGAAGTACAAAATGGGAGTCACAAAATAGTCATGGGGAACATAGGCAATAATCCTATATAATAAAAGTCTAATATTCAGATTGACCAAATTGTGGAATGACCAGTTGCTATGTCATGCATTGACCACCAGAGACCAGATTCTCAATGCAGGAGCTGCCCCAGGCCCACAGGCCAACCAAGACAAGTGCAAGTGGGGGATCCCAACCACCCCGCCAGTTGCCCCACAGATTGGCTCTGATCACCAGCCAGGCCTAGGGACCCTACCCTTGTACGAATATCATTGACTGGGCCTCTAGTATTATAATAAGGATATATGGTACCAGGTGGGTACTGGAAATATCAGGGGAACATTTTGTTGGCACTGATATCTATTTCCTTATAAATAAATATGTTCCTAAACACTGATGTAAAGTATTAAGAGAACAGTAAGAGTAAGACCAAATTTTCAATAATCCAACATATTTCATGTGTGTGTGTGTGTGTGTGTGTGTGTGTGTGTGTGGTGGGGGAGGGGTTGTATAAAGTCCCCGACATGAACAATTTTGTAGAAAACACAAGTGGACCAAAATTTACCTCAAAAGAAAGAAAATTTAAATCACTAAATCATAAAAGCATAAAAAAAATTATTAAAGAATTACTTCCTCAAAGAATACCTAAATAGTTTTATGGTCACAAACTGAAACTTTCAAGAAATAGATCATTCCCATTCTAAATTGTTTTAAATTATTGAAAAAGATCAAATTCTTTCAAATTCATTGTACAAAAGTAACACAATCATGATAGCAAAAATTGACTTCCAATTAGAAAACTAGCAAATCTTATTTTTATTGATTGATTTTTTCTTTTAGAGAGACAGGGGAAGGGAAAAGGAGAGAGACATCTATTTGTTGTTCCACTTATTTATGGATTCATTGCTGATTCTTATATGTGCCCAGATCGCATGCTTTGGTGTATGGGATGACACTCTAACCAGCTGAGCTGGTACCCGGCCAGGACTCAAATCTTATTTTTTTTTTTTAATATATTTTATTGATTTCTTACAGAGAGGAAGGGAGAGAGATAGAGAGCTAGAAACGTCGATGAGAGCAAAACATCGATTAGCTGCCTCTTGCACACCCCCTACCGGGGATGTGCCCACAACTGATGTACATGCCCTTGACCGGAATCGAACCTGGGACCTTTCAGTCCGCAGACCGACGCTCTACCACTGAGCCAAACCGGTTTTGGCTCAAATCTTATTTTGAATACAAATATAAAAATGATAAGTAATACATTATACTAAATATTATGCTAAAAGAATGAATCCAAGACTAAATAGAACTTTTATCAGTAATGCAAGAAATATAAAATCTGCCCTACTTGAAGAGTCCCAGGTTCAATTTTGGTCAAGGGCACGTACCTTGGTTTGCAGGCATATCCTCAGTAGGGGTCATGCAAGAGGCAGCTGATCAATGTTTCATTCTCATCGATGTTTCTAACTCTCTCCCTCTCCCTTCCTCTCTGTAAAAAATGACTAAAATACATTTTTTTCAAAAGAAATAAAAATCATCAGTAGATGCTGAAAAGGCATTTGACAAAAAGTTCTTTTTCCTATCAGCTTCTGATTTTTAAGTTTCGAAACAAAAAAGTTGAGATAATAATACAAAGGAATATTCTTTACTTACATATAGATTTATCAAGCAACATTTTGCTACATTTTCTGTCCTCTCTCTCCTTATCAATCTTTATACATATACTATTGTTTCTTTGTGAAATCATTTGAAAGTAAATTGCAAGTATCATGACAATAGGCTACTAAATACTTCAGCATATAATATCTAAAATCAAAGACCTTCTCATATAGAACCAAAATACCACTAAACTCACAAAACGTTTAAGTAATTTATAATAATAAAAGCATAATATGCTAATTAGACTGGACAGTTGAACAACCTGTGGACATCCTTCCAGACAACCTTCTGGACGAAGCTGGGCTGGGAGGGCCAACCCTCTTGCACGAATTTCGTGCATCAGGCCTCTAGTATACTAAATATTAGAGATGTCAGTTCTCCCCATAAACTATTATATTTAGAGAGGTTCTAAGCACATCTTGCCAATTTTTTATTTAACTTGACAAAATCATTCTAAAGTTCATCATAAAATATAAATCAGTATTTCTGATCAGTCACATTTTTAAATGAGCAACCTGGGGACATGTGCAATGCCACATGCTAACATGTATTTTAAAGCTGGAGTAACTAAAACAGAGGACTAACTTACAGACATATGAATAAGAAGAGTAGCTCAGGAACAGACTGTAGTTTGTATGAATCTATAAAGAGAGGGTTTTAAATTATGAAGGAAAAAAATTCATTTAACAAATATTGTTAAGCCCTTAATTTTGCATTCTTTTAGGTCCTAGGGAAACAGAAGTAAAAATGAGGGGGAAAAAATTCTTTCATGGAGTTTACACTCTGGTAACATGAAAAATAAAATTTATAATGTTGGAATAAAAATTAAAGTTAATAAATAGAATTAGATAAGCTTGCCAAAGAAAGATGGTGATGATATTTGATCAAAAAGAACTGAGAGCTATGTATGTATCTGGGGTATGGTACTCCAGGCCGAGGGAACCCAGAGCAGAGAGCGGGAGGAGGGTCTTATCTGGTTGGTTGAGGCTAACCCGTGAACGTGGAACATAGATGTTGGGGGTGGGTGTGACCTAGTAGGAATGTGCAGGATCTAATCTATACTTCACATCTGAGTTTCTCACGGCTTAAAACTAAGTATTTAAAGAAGAAAATGAGGTTAAATAGTGAATCTCAGAGTGGGGGTGACCTTTCTCCTGTGCATGCAAAAGAAAAAAAATGCAAACTGAGTTGACTATTAATATTGTAAAGTACATGACAAATATACCACAATTGAGGAGATATCAGTAATATGACGCAAAGGTTTAATGTTCTTAACACAAAGAATCTATACTAATCTATAAGACAAAGTTCAACGTTCCATAGAATAATGAGCAAAAGCTATGATTAGGCAAATCACAAAAGAAACTGTCCAATAAGCAAACAAAAATGGTTTACTTCTTTAGAAGCCAAGAAAAGAAATATTTTATGCTTATTAAATTGCCAGATTAAGAGGAAGAAGGGGTAGTGCTCCTTACTGATGAGGCTATGGAATATTTCTTCTGGAAATATAAAAATAGAACAACTTTCTTGGAGCCAGTCTCTTGTGTGACAACATTTAGCAAAAAGCTCTAAAAGTGTGTGTGCTGTTTTAACCAGCAGTTCTTCTTCTAGGACCAACCTGGGGGTGACTAGAAAGCAGGGATTAGACCATAGATCAGGAGGTGACTAGAAAGCAGGGATTAGACCATAGATCATTGGGTCAGCATTAATTTTTAATAGAAAAAAAATGAATAAAGTAAAATGTACAGCAAAAAGATTGATAACTTATGGGTTCATTTCTGTAAAGGCATTATACAGCCTTTAAAAATGATCAATTTAACCAAAACCGGTTTGGCTCAGTGGATAGAGCATCGGCCTATGGACTGAAAGGTTCCAGGTTCGATTCTGGTCAAGGGCATGTACCTTAGTTGCGGGCACATCCCCGGTAGGGGGTGTGCAGGAGGCAGCTGATCAATGTTTCTCTTTCATTGATGTTTCCATCTCTCTATTCCTCTCCCTTTCTCTCTGTAAAAAAATCAATAAAATATATTTTAAAAAATGATCGAGTTGAGTAGGAACAAATGAATGGAATTTTTTAATGGACAAAATTATTTACTGAACAATATGTATAGTATGATTTCAGTTTTAAAAAACAAAGTTCAAAAGCAAAAAGACTAGAAGGATATACACCGATATCCTATGGTATTATCTTTGGTAGCATTTAAATCAAATTTTTTTTCATGGTGCTTTTCTGTATTTTCCAAATCTACAGTAAAGCCAATTTATTTTTATGATAAAAACTTATTCAAAAGAGTACATCGAAGTTAATTTTAGGAGTTTCTAACATCACATTTGAAATATATTTGGAAGTATCTGTTTTTTATTTTAGTACCTGATGAGAGACTAGGGACTAGCAAACTTGTGAAATTTGGGTTGATTCAGTTCAATCACTTAACAACATCGGGAGGAGTGATGTGCCATAATTCATTAGAGTAAGAAAGCAACTGAAACACAAATAATACTTAAAGTTCATCTTGATTTCCAGTATTGTAACACTTTTCAATAAATTTATTAACCTTCATATGTTTTCATAGATCAGACAACCACAGATGTTTTCTTTGAGGCAAAACCATTTTAGGCCAAAAACTGAGAAAGTCCCAACCACTTACAACCAAGCCATTTTACTTCCCTGTCTACCTTCATGCTACTAAAATCAGTGATGGGTTCTCCTGTGTATTATGAGTGGATTCTAGAACAAATGACTTAATTATATGCAGAGTGTGTGCAGATTCAGCATCAGGAGTGGAAGCAGAGGTGGGAGGCGTATTGGGGTGGAGGGCAGGCCGCAGGCGGGGGTTGGTAGAATGGGAAGCAGTAAAGTCAGAGTTGGATGTCTATGAGCAAGCAATAGCGTATACAGGTCTCCAAATCTGGCTGAGCTTCAAACACACAGGGAGTTCTGTAAAACACATTTCTGTCTCCACTCCCAGATGCTCTGATTCATAGGGAACAAAATAAATTTTAAACCAAAAACAAGCAAACAAAATTTAGACCAAAAATAATTTTGACCGTGGAAACCCCGAGAGACTGACTTTTACTCCAGCCCCTAGAAAGCTGGTGGTGGTGCGCCTTATTCAGCTGGGAGGAGCGATCCTAGGAATTTCCGTTCCCACTCTCAATCCCATCCTGGCTGAATGGCAGCAGAAAATCCACCGCTGAGTTTTCTCACTATGTAGCACAGCTGTGCTGAATATTGAGACCTTTGTCAGGTCATTGTCAGGATTACAGATTGTTAGTCTGTCCCTTTGATTTGCACAAAGAAGACAGTTCTCTGTACTGGATTTGTGCATTCACCACACTGAGATGAAGGGGAAACAGTCAAGGGCCATTTCAGCCCTTTCATAAAAGTAGCTCCTCAAAATTTCATTTTAAAGGGGAGAATTTTCGGCTTTAAGAAAAGGAAAATCGTGGGTTCTACAGACCCTCTCTGACTTGGGTCCTATACATGTGGTAAACAGGGTGAAGGCAGGGGAAAGTAGCACTGTGCCACATGCCATTCGTCTGCCGGAAGCTGTCTCCTCTGGAGCACCATGTGCTGCGTATGGCACTTTTCTACACAGTGACATGAAGGAAGGCCGGAACCATTCAGTCACATTAACAATCAAACTGAAATATTTAATAGGATCAACTGATTGTTGGAAGGAGGCAGTAACCTAAATGTTTCATGTCATAAATCAGCTACTTGGTGTGTTTTTTTTTTAAGCTGAAAAGAAAATGTGGAACTGACTTAAAAATGTCATTTATGAAAACTCTCCCACTTTCATAGATTCATAACAGGGGTGTGTGTTACTTTGTGACTCAGTAGGGTCTCACAGTCCAGCTCTGTTGGAACCCAGCCTGCGGCTTTGCCTTGGTCAGTCCCACAGGTGCACACCTCTAAGGAGGCATCACAGCTCTCAGTGCCCACAGCCCTGCCTCCCCTGAGTGTCACCTCAGGACTAGTCATGTGCAACCGGTGCAAGGTCTACAGAACTTTAAACTCAACCTTTGTCATATATTTTGGAAAACTACTGATTCCAGAAAAATTATGGCAATTTAAAAATACTGAGTTTTTATAGATACAAACAACAGAATGGTGGTTATCAAAGGATAAGTGAGGTAGGGGAGGGCAAATTGTGTAAAGGGCGTCAAATATATGGTAATGGAAGGAAACTAGATTTTGGGTGGTGAGCAAGCAATAGAGTATACAGATAGCAAATTACCATTGTACACCTGAAATTTATATATTAACCATTGTTGTTACCTCAATAAGTTAAAAATATATAGAACAATATAAACTAATGAAATAAATAGATCTAGAGACAGAGGAGCATCAAACTGACGTTCAAACCTCAGAGGGAAGGCGGGAGGGAATGGGTAAGGGGGACTTGTATTCATGCATATAAGCATTATCAATGGACACAAGACACTTGGGGTGGGGGGCATGTGTTAGGGGCATGTGTTGGGGGGTGGGAGTGGCTGAGAAGAAGTCAATGGGGGGGAAGATATATATAATTCTTTAATCAATAAAGAAAATTTTTAAAATAGTTTTAATATTACCTTGTTATAATCACTACTATCAGCAAATATTGGAAATTATAACTCGTTAAAATCTTTTGTGTATAATCTATATTGTTTTCATATAAAAATATTCTTCATCATTTGTTTTTATTTGTAGTCATATCCCATGGTATTGCAGTATCGACCAAGAATTGACTTCGGTTAGACCAAGGGGCCTGGACCCCACTGAGATGAATCCTGCACTATTTGTTTACTCATGGACAGATTGCACAGCAAGAGGTGTGTGGACTAAAGGGACACAACCAGATTTTCAGCATGCAAATAAGGCCATTGTCTGTCTCTAAATTGTCAGTTGCATTTATGTTGTTTCTGTTAAGAGCAAACCAAGTGCCATTCTGCTACTGAACCACCTGTGTAAGTTATGTGTGCTGTCTCACAGTGTACAAGTCACAGATGTCAGCTGGGTGTGCATCCTGTTGCAGCCTTTGGAATATTTTGCTTGTTGTCCCAAGACTGTTCTAATGTTCAGTTACACTAGTAATATGGCTCAATCTTTGTGGTGTTACAGTTTTCACATACTTTCTCTTTTATTCTTGTTCAAATAGAGTATTGTATAAGAAACTGGTTATTATATCTGGAAATTATTTTATATGGCAAATATGTTTAGAAAAATGGTTTTTGAACCACTGTCCTATTCTCAGTAAGCTTTCTCTGTGTAACATAGTTCATCTTTTGGGAAGAATTCCAATTATTCTTTAACATTAGAGCACATTGTAATTGTAGGCATTTTAAGTCATCTGTCAGTGTAGTCTACCAACTGCACAAGGAGGGCCTGTTAGCCCTCCACGTTGAAAATGTGTGCGATTCTGGGAGAACTGACGCTGGATTCACAACCATTCAAAATGTTGGCAGCTGATAACACTTACTTCTAACAAAATGACTGTGTAAGTAAGGTTCCTCTTCTCTCATAATGCCTTATGACAAGCGGGTACTGCTGTGAACAGTCTTTGCGTAGCCCATTTTATGGATGCATCACTATCTTGTTGTCTCATTTAATGAGAACATTGTTTCTCTTTTTAAGTTGGCCTTAGGTATGTGTTGCTGTTGCATGAAGAGGGTTATGATGATTTTAAATATTAGAATCTTTAGAGCAGATAACATTAGCTACTTTATGGATTTCAAGTCAAAACAGTTGTAGATTAAAACTGTTACCTATCACATTTCCAAACCATTTGCATAAAATAGAATAAATGCAGTGTAGTAGATAAATATGCTAACCACCATTAGTGGGCTGAGGATATTTCACTTTAGAGCCTGTAGCAACCAGAGGGGTGGGAATACTGTTCATACATAAGTTATTACAGTGAGAGCTATGGGAATGGCCTTGATTTTGTAGTTTTGTTAAGTCTTCCATTCATTTTGAGATTAGTCTGCAAGTCAAAGAAAATCTTGTTATCTTAAATTATGTGAAGAACTTCATTTAAATGTTTTAAAATGTGTATTTGTTTTCCAAAAACTTCGTTGGCGATTGTTTTATTAATTGCTTCAGAACAAGTTAACCTCTGAAACTTAGGAAAAACCTTGAAAGTGAGGAAAAATATTTATTTTAGAAACCTGACATGAGCACAATCTGTGTGTTAGACACACGGTTTTTATACTGTATACATGGTAGATATGCTACATTTTCCAGTAAATTGTATCACAAATCAATGCCTTCTAAATCTCAAAATGCTTCTTAGAAATAAAACATTGTAGAACTCAAACCCATACAACGTACAACTAAGCCTTCATGCATTTCACAATATAAAAGGCTGAAATATCATAATTATTTTTCCATATATCTTTGTTTCAAGTCTAATAGCCTATATTAAAGTTTTCTGTTTTTGTTCTGACTTGTGGAAGAGGTTAGGGCAGTACTTTCATTTGTTAAATTGTGTTTGTGCTTGGAAGGGCTCACAAGCAGAATTTAAAAGGCAGTGTTTTTTGTTAAAAATCTATTAAAATGGTTGAAATAGACCATTAACATTATACTCAACCAAAACTGATTTTATTCTTTAGCTACAGAAATTATTTTATGATCTAAAAGCTAACTTCCTGACATCCCTAAAAAGTTTTAAATTTATTTATAAATTTGTTACATCTAGGTCAGTAATTAAAATAATGTTTTACAAATGGGAATTTATTTTAATTGACTTAATGCAAAATGCATTGAGAGTCCATTTTAAAAACCACAAATGAGACCTGGTCGTTTTGGGGGCATCAGCCAAAACCTACAACCTTAAGTGAGTTTTATGGATACAGTCTCTTTACATTTGTCCTGCTGCTTCATCATATGTAATTTCATCATTTTCCAAGGAAATACATAGGAAGCAATTATGAAATTTAGAGTAGTTTTTGTGAATTTTTACTGAAATGCAATGGAATATGTGCCAAAACGTGTTAAAATTTTACATAAAGAAGGATACCAGTTGTCGTTGGGGCAAGGCACACACTCTGTGACGGTCCTGAGTAATGCTGCATCACTCAGAACCACGGACCTCTTCAGCCAACCTCTTTTGATACAGTCAACTATGATTTTCTAAGTATGGGACTGCTTTCACATCTAGTAATACACTAAATCCCAGTTAGTTATTCCCTAAGTTAGGTTGTGAAATTTGCAAGAAACCAGAAATAGAAAAAATATGCAGACAAACTTTGTGGTTAGTTTTATAAACTTAGGGTAGTAGTAAAACAAACTCTTTTTATAAATAACCTATAGGAATAAATAATCATCTGCATCTGCAAAGTTGGGAGAATAAATAAAACTAAGTTTTTATTTAGTCTATTGTTTCTTAAACAACAACCTGAAAGAACTTTGCTTTCATAAAAGATTTTGTCATCTGTTTTCTCTGCTTTAGATATCATATTAGTAAAGGGTCAAGGAACCTGGGATTTGAAGGTCCATATCACATCACTCTGAGGTAATCACATCCATTAATAGAAAAATCAGAATATGGCGTCTTCTCTAGATTGACAAAATACTTTCAGGAAGTACAAAAAAAGAAACTAAAAGGCTCATTAGCTCATTCATTCTGGGGTACAGCTACCTTGGGTGATGTCTTTTAACTACTTTTAGAAAGATGTGTTATTTCTTTATTCATTGAAAACATGTCCCATACTAATTTGCCACATTTTATAAATGTAATGAGTTTGCTCAACTATGTAATATACTCAAATGTAATCTAAATTTAAATGGTTCTTTAAGAGGAAAAAAGGTATGTTATATAATACTATGAACTGTTTAGCTTTATTGAACTACTTAAGAGAAAGTGCCTCATTGCTACTGTGCATTTGTTTTAGATTTACTGCATACAGTTTGAGTTATCTGTACTTGTCTCTCATTAATTATTTCATATCTAAATAGACACTTGTAAGTTAGAGTGATCACTTTTATAAAGATTTTCATAAGAAAATACCTATCACCAAAGACATTTTACTGCTAATGAACAACCATGTTGGAGAGATAGTTGTAACGGTTTGGAGTTTGGAAATTAATTTTATGAGGCAATAAGATTGATTAATTGCTAAAATATCACCAAAGAAAGGCTTTAACTCTAAATTTCATGGTGAGATTAATCAAATGCAGGTTTTTTCTTATAATTAGCAGAGCACACTTTCTTTCAAATACGCTTGCTTTTCTGCACCATTTGACAGGTCATAGGAAATCCTCAAAGGCAAGAAAGAGACAAACACAACAAATATCCTTCCTTTGGATGAAAAGTGGGAGAAAGACATACTTTGAAATTCTTCTAATTTGAGAAGCTTTTTCTTTCATGAAGAAAATAGAAACAAAAATAACATTTATTTGGTTCCTGAGTTCTTAGTAATAGGATAAATTTATAAGACAGACTTTGGTAAAGTGTTGACATGCTTACTTGTATAAAAAATAGCACATTCTATTGGACTCACATACATAAATGCTTTTTCCATGTTCAAAAACAATTTTCATAAAGGCCTGTTTCACCTCCCTGTCCTGTTTCTCAGCGATTGCTCTATTTTTATTAGAATTCAGACTCACAGCCAAATTAGCAAAATGGGTCTCAGATCTAGATCATACATACTGTTCTTACACCATTCTCCCTGGGAGTTCAGGCTGTGGGCTACCTCAAAGGTAAAGCTCGCATCCTAAAGTCTCTGATAGGCCATATGTGAGCCTCTCTTAAATACTGTGATTTATCATAAGGAATTTCCCACAGGCTAAGCTTGATACTCAAGATGTTGGTTGTAGGAGAATTGCAAAAATGAATGTGTTTGTCATAACTTTAAATACCTGGGTTAGAACCACAAATACGTAAAACACTATTATAGATCACACACACACACACACACACACACACACACACACACACTAAGGAATATAGCATGTATGCCAGATCTGGCATCTGACAGGTTGAAAATGTTAAATATACTAAAGACTCTGAAACCCTTGGAAAGCACAAAATAACCAACCATTGCTGGATTGACTCGAGAGACCTAGTTCAATAGTGTTTTGATGGAAAAACATGATATTGAAAGCTCGTTAAAATGTATTTAAATACGAATTATTGAGTTTTCACCATTTTTTCCCCTACAGCAATGGCATTTCCCTGATAATTTAAAAGTGATTCTCTTCCCAGTATAATGTAGTTGTCACATAGTGTGTTTACTTCTTAGTCTTTTACAATACTTTCAAACACTTAAAATGCTTGAGCACTTCCTTTTCAGAAAGTTATGAAATTAAACTTAAAAATCATTTAATTTTAAATGCTCATTAAAATGTGTCTGTGTACTTGTTATGCCTCTTTTCCTAGGAGCCAGCACTGAAACATTGTTCAGCAATGCTTTTTAATGTTCATTGTCTGTAAACCTAGAATCAAGTGCAACTGATATCTGTCAAATGTTGGGTCTAGTTTTCTTCTATCTTCCAGAGCTTCGTGGCATAAGAAACTAATCTAGTACAAATGAAGATGAAATGTTTCTAGGCAACAGTAGGGTTAGTAAGCAGATTACTTATCCACAGACACACGTCAGTCCACTGGAGCAGGGGTTCAACACATTGGAAATGGAATGGGATCAGCCTCATCTGTTCGGGGTCCGTTTTCTTTGCTGTGTTTTGTAGAGTGGGGTGGGGGCCCAAGTGTCCTTATGAAGCTGTGGTCCACGACACGTGCCCGTGAGGGAGCCGGG